TTAAATGGAGTTCGTCCGGTTGCAAACAAAGCTGTCTCGCACCACCTAGCAAAACTTGCGAATGATCGAAGAACAGGTACCCATTGGACAAAAGATACACGAAAGTTTGTATCTGCCCGACCCAGTGCAATATATCCGGTTAGAATCAAAGCTCACGTGTCCCTTATTTGAGAGACCAGATTCTGCCATACATTCGGGATGGGATTTAGAAAAACATAAAAGGTGTATTTTGGCGTCATTTTCGGACATTTCAATCATTCCTGATGCCTAAAATAGAGTCTAAGTTTTACCGTAGTCATTGACGCATATTCAAGAGTATGATCATGTGTATTGTGACTAGCGTGAATGGGTAAGCTTCGTTTCGACAATGAGCAGTTATCACTGTAAACAATGTTAAATTATTCTTCACATGCTCAGTTGATTTTTTGAGAACATTGATTTAAAAATAAAATCTCTCAGTCAATCAGAAACTCGGATTCACGCCTTCAGGGGAAGTCACGTTTGGACGCTCACATCGATTTTGTTTTTCGTTCGGTGGGCTGATGCCTTCAGTGTAGCTTTTGCCTCTTCCGACATAGAAATCATCTGAATCTTCTTTCTACCTCTCTTTCTTTTCACACCACGCATAATGTAATGATAACAATTAGGAAAAAACACCGAGGAAATATAAGCGAGCGATAACTGATTTGAGAATAATTGCACATGCGCGTGAATTGAATGAACTATGACCCGTACAATCTCGATTTGCATATTGTCAATCAAAGGTCCTGTTATTTGATTACTCATGCAAATTAGGCAATTGGACATAAACATTGCCACGTGTGAGTTTTTTTATTTTTAACCAGAAAATAAACATCAGTTTTAACGGTGTTCCAATAAGAATTCATTGGTCAAATTTTTACAGAATGTTCTTTAGATAAAAATCTATATAAAACACGAAAAAAAACTATTTTTGATTGAAATTCACAAATAAACTGCATCTCTGCCTTAATTGGAGTTTAATTGAACTCAATTACATTGCAATCAAATATAGAAATGCGTTTTAATTCAATTTTAATTGAATAAAAGCAAAAAAGTAGAAATAAAATCATACATCCTGTGTTGTAACATAGATTTGTCTGCGAAGCTAGGGTTAAGTAAAGGGGCAGGTATGGTACAGTTATATAAATATTAATATAAAGAATACCATATCTTCCCCTTTAATAACCCTAACCTATGCAAACTGACTTAAATTCGATTACATATTAATATAAAATATGAACAATTGTGAGGGTCGTCACTAAGTAGATTTGTCTTCTTGGTAGATATAAAGTTAAATGGAAGTCGTCACAACGTTGATTAGACAAACGCATACACCCCCACACACACTAACTACAAAGATTCCCATTGTGTGCTATTTTGCTTATTCACACTTTAATATTCTTTCATTTCTTCATGATCATGCTGCATATAACTTCGGGTTACACATACCCACTTAACTAAATTAACTATTATCACTTGAAGGCGTTTTGTTTGCCCAAATCATATTTATTTTTGCTATCTCTCTACTTTATCTACTCTCTCTCTCTCTTTGAAACATCTTGACAAGCACAATATCTATTGGAGTGGAGACAATACTCGTTTCAACTGAGATAACTTACAATGTACGTCTTTGCATGTAAGTTACAATAAGCAGGATACAATATTATATTGTTGTATACACAGTGTAAAACCTCAAACGAAATAGGTATTTGAATTGTGGCCACAGACATTTACAACAAAAGCACTAATTTTCTATAGTCACTGATATCACACACAATATACAGTCTCACTCGACAACACATGTCGACATCACTCATGCTTACAGTGTAAAACATTTACTCACACAAACCAATTTTAACCAAAAGCATATACAATTTGTATAAATAACGATCCCTGTCACTTTGTTCCACTGGTCTAACTTTGGTAATATTTGAAGATACATATTTATTTTGATTTTTTATAGACATCATGACAATTTTTACTATTTTAATACTTGTCAATTGGACCAAATGGGTAATACCGGGCGGAAAAATATTCTAATTCGATCTACAACAATTTCCAATGGTTGTAGGACATTTATTTTTATTGGCTTAATATTTTTGAACCATCTTGAATTCTAAAAAAAATCTGTAGTGTTTGATTTTAAATGTTATAATAAGCATCATTTTTTAAGGATGCCTGCTGGTTATGCAGGTACCCAATTTCTATATAAAACATTAACTTTTTCGTGCATTATTTTCTCTCATCCTTGATGCTTGACCTTGTATACAGGTGACCATTGAAAAATGAGCAATTGAATATCGTAACTGTATTGAAATGTATTCCACCAATGTTTGCATCAATATAGCATGACGTACATCCAATCTTCCAATTGACAGCCGACCTCAAAATACTATTTGCATCAATATGTAGGACATATGTCCTGTTGGCACTCATCCTAGCAATCGGTGCATCAATATTGTAGAACAATCACAGTGACACGATGTTAAAAAATGGTTATTATTTTTGTATTAAAGACTACTCAATATTTGGTAAGCAAGTTGTGCAAGTTATGCTTGTGTTTCAGTTATGGGTTCACAAGCAAATGATGTTCAAATAGCCATACATAGACCAATTGCGAGATAAAAGCATTTCCTAACCTAAACAATGAATGGGGCATATGTTGTTCAAACTATCAGAACAAATATGTAGAATCATTGAATATGCATCTGACCCCAAACACCGCCCAGTCACCATCTGATAACAGGATGAAAGATGGTGGCAGTTTCATTTGAGGGAATTTTTTATGTTGCGAGTTGGACACTGTACTGCGAGTTGGACGGTACACTGCTCATAAGTCTTTCTATTCCCGATGGATTGATGTCTTTTTTTGTCATCTATTACTTTTGTGTTCTTGAACTTCCCCTATACGACTTCCATTCTACTGTTGATGAGATAATTTCCACTCAGCTACGTTAAACAGATGCAGGCGTTCTTATAGGCAACATGTTAAAGGGCGGCAGTCATCATGCCTCGTCCTGTTCGATATGTGATTCATAGCAACGTGTACAACGCGTGTAAAATACATTGTTTATTTACATGAAATTCGAACACACGCTGCACGACAACCACCGCACTTTAACCCTCTGTGTTTTGAACCATATATATATATCAAACAGTTCTACTGTAAAATAATTTACCTTCAATACTATGACATGGCTGTACAGGGTTTCAGCAACTGAATTGACAAAAGACCACACCTATAACTACATTGTTCTTGCAGCAACTTTACGGGTGGTGGGTATTTTGCACATCGTTTCCAATGCACATATCGTAAACATGGCATGGCTTGAGAATATTTTGCTTATTCACACTTTGATTCCCTTTCATTGCTCCATTTTTTTTAAGCAGGTGCATTCTCACACTGCATAACACCTAAAGGCCAACATTCCTAAAATAACCAGATGCGATCATGCCATGAAAGATCATGCATTACGTAAACATGGCAAATTGTTGCTAGTCCGCTAGTAAATAATGGATCCGCCATCAAGTCTACTAATGACAATCACTCGCCGAACCAAGCAATGTTTTGGTAGTTTGTACAATAACAAGGTTATATTACCATGCTGCATATAACCTCAGGTTACACATACCCACTTAACTAAATTAACTACTGTAAATCATGTTGAAAAAGCGGCATACAATTTTAGCGAACTGTGGTACAATGACGTAATAGCGAAATGTTGATTTAGCGAATCTCTCTTTTCGGTCATTTTGAATTGATAATAAAGCCATTGGCGTCATCCTGAATTAGCGAATCAATTCTCTCGCTAAATTCGCGAAAAAAGACATGCTCGCGAAAAGACATGTTTTACAGTATTATCACCTGAAGGCGTTTTGTTTTCCCAAAGCATATTTATTTTCCCTAGCTCTCTTTTCTCTCTCATCCTTTGAAACATTTTGACAAACACAATATCTACAATATCTATTGGTTAGAGTGGAGCAAGAATACACAATAATCGATTCAACTCAGTTAACTTCACAATGTACGTCTTTGCATGTGAGTTACACTAAAATATCAGATTGTTGTATACACAGTATTAAACCTCGAACCAAATACCCTGTTATTTGAATTGTGGTCACAGTCTACACCAAGTCCAATTCCGCATTTCTGTTAAAAGTCAGTTGAAAAGAACAAGACATTTACAACAAAAGCACTAATTTCTATACTCACTGATATAACACACAATATACAGTATCACTCGATAACTCATGTCGATCTCACTCAAACTTACAGTGTAAACAAAAATCTCACACAAATCAATTTCAACCAACAGCATATGAAAATTTAAAATTTGTATAAATCGCGATCCCTGTCACCTTGTTTCACTGGTCTAACTTCGGTAATATTTGAAGATACATATTTATTGTGATTTTTGATAGACATGACAATTTTTACTATTTTAATACTGGTCAATTTGATTCTTGCTGGTCATGTAGGTAGCCAATTTCTATATAAAACATTAACTTTTTCGTGCGTTATTTTCTCTCATCCTTGATGCTTGACCTTGTATACCGGTGACCATTGAAAAATTAGCAATTGAATATCGTAATTGTATTTAAATGTATTCCACCAATATTGCAACAATATTGTAGGACATATGTCCTGTTGGCATGCCATCCTAGCAAGTAGAAGTATCCGATTATATTGGTATATGGTTAGTCTATAGCATTTTGCAATTGACATTAGCCTATTGGAAACAAGAGGTCACGTGCAGCAAGGGTCAAATAGTCCCTACACTGCTGATTGCAGCTGTATTTGCATAATCAATCATTTGATAAAAAATATGGTAAATAAATATAGCTACTGGCTGACGTTTGATGTGTCTGATAGCAGAAGCATAAATACATCTTCAGATGTACTATCAGTTACTATACCAAGACCCGGCAGATAGATAACGATTGTACATTGACGGAAGTGCAGATACAGTTCTATAAAGATGCGTTTAACCTGTTTAGTATTGGTAGCACTGGTGTGTGTAAGTATGTTCTATGTGTACATACTCGCATCTTATTGCAATGTTATATTATTTTCACAATGATGTACAATAATGTCACAAACACTATATTTCTATTTGTATTGCAGGTGATTGTTGTCGAATCAGGTAAGACGTATACATAATTTATAACTAAAATTTATAACTACAGTAAAACCTGTCAAAATCGACCCATGGATAAACCGACCGACCTACTGTCAGAACCGGCCGATTTATGTTTCCCCGAAATTTATTCATAGAAAAACAACCTGTGAAATTCGACCAATGTCTACTCCGAACACCGACCGCATTGATCGGTCCCAAGTCCAGTATTCACACTGAATATATCGACCATCTGATCAGTTGCATCACATCCTATGTCTAGTAATCCGGCCTGCCCGACCTAAAAAGTGTGCATTGTGTTCAATTTACCGTGAACGTCACAGAAACAATAATAAATCTCACACTACTAGTAACGTCCCCTGTGTAAAACAATGGCAACTGATTATGTTTTTCACAAAACAAAATCGTTGAAAAAGATGTTCTTTAAAGCAGTCAACACTTGACAATTTTGTTTTGACATCGTAATTTGATCCATTGACTTCACAGCAAAATCGACTGTCTGCATAAATTATGATAAGTACATCATGTTACCTTACTTGTGATGTCATTCGAAATGGGCACCTTCAGATACGATAATCGATACTTACCCTGTCTGTTCGAACAGTTATTTTAATAATTATTGATTTCATGTACATACCGTAATATTAATGGCTTGTTTGGTAAATTATTTTATTGCAACAATACAATAAATGTAAAAATAATCACCGGAGGAAAACTCCGATGTCTTTCATTTGTCCTGTGATTACAGCACATGTCATTGTTGTTTCAATCGAAGTCACGCCCACCCTGTATAAACCATCTGAAAACCGACCATAGATCCCAGTCCCAGTCATGGTCGATTTTGACAGGTTTTACTTATTTTCGAAATGTTTTCCATTTTTCAAACTACATAAATCAACAGATTATTTATTTTCACCCTCACCTTCTTCTTTCTCATTACTTTAAATTTCAACACTAATTCTCAATATCTTGGAGGTATAAATAATGCATAATGAGTATTACATCAGTTGGAAAGTGTTTAGATATATAGTAAACTATATGTGCCTCACTTCTGGCCATGACGTCTTTGTCTCTTCTCCAATATGATAAGATTAGATTAGATACAACTACACTGGTGTCGTACAAAAAATAAAAAAAAATATCCATACAATATTATAGTTGTTTATGTTTTAGTATTTCACCTTAATTGTCATTTATTAGTTTTAGCAGTATGCAAACATTGACAAAATAACCATATACTTTGTAAAATGATATGAAACAATGCAGGTATTAAGATGTCTATTGTGAACCAGCTCGTCATAGAAAATGTTATAATGTTTGTGTTATATTGTAATGTTACACTTCGAAATACCACCATTTGCTTTATCGATAGATAAACAGCCACACATTGTGTTGATATTAGCAGAGGATTTAGGGTGGAATGCTGTTGGATGGCACAATCCAGATCTCAAGATGCCTATTCTCAATCAACTCGCCGCCGATGGCGTCATATTCAACCAATCATACGTCCAGCCTACGTGTACACCGTAAGTCACAATGCCATTAATGTTCCTGGAATTTAGTGATAGATTGTTTACTCAACATGTGTATATACAACATGTTATATCGTCAACATCAGTGAAATGCTTTAAGTATAAAACGTGGGCCTGTACAATATCATAACAAATCACCTGTACATCTGTTAAATTATTTGTTCATGTATGTTTTATTATTCAGATCAAGATCTGCTCTATTTACCGGTTATTATCCGTTCAAAATTCAAAGACAGGTAATTTGTTTATTGGAACACAATTATCTGTATTCCCAGATTTTTGTTGACAAGTTTTCTGTTCGTCTATGATTTAAAACTGATGATATAAAAGTTCACCTTGTCTGAAGATTGGTGTTACAATGTTGACATAAAATAACCTGAATGCAATGCTACATCACCTGTTGACTTATCATGCTGTGGATGTGGACTTTGTAGAAGAGGTTTCCAGGGAGTAGCATTCAGTATTTATTTTCAGTCAAAGTTCACATTAATTACTAGTTGGTCTTATGTTTGACGCAAAATGTCTATTTTTTTTTTCTAAAGTCTGATTTTACATTCAGATTAGTAGAACGCGTGAATTCAACAAGAAATGCTGACGATGTATTGTTCATATTAACCACATCTGAAAATTTAGTCAAAACAATGCGGGTTTGTCATATGTTTTTTTCCCAGAAATAATAAAAATAGCTAAAGTATAAAAAGTGTATTTTGATTAACTTTTTAATGCATCCTTCTGTTACTATTGTTATTTACAGCATCAATTTCTACTCAACCTTGAAGCTGACGGGCTTTCTTTAGATCTTAAGATATTGCCAGAAATGTTGAAAGATGTTGGGTATCTAACTCATTAGTGGGAAAGTAAGTAGACTGCAGAACACAAGGGTTGAATTTAAAAATGAACTATGGACTGCTGTACTAGGGGCTTATTAAAATACATTGACAAATCACATTTCTGCCTAGTCAATGTTTTCAAACACAAAACAGTAAAACATATGTGTATCCAAAAACAATAAAACAAGAATCTCAAAGATAATATTAAGATTCCAATCCTTTTATCTAATACCCAAGTTAGCCCCCCCCCCTCTCCCCAAGCTATACATGTTAATTAATCAGGTTTTAAAGCAAAACAAGTTTGTGAGCAATGAAGATGTTTCGTCAAATGCTCCATGAACGTCAATGCACTAGCTGCATATATGCTACATACCAACTTCAGTGCGGCAACAAAAGCGTACATTTGTATTGTCTTTTTATAGTAAATCACATGAAAATCCAGTAAACAATTAACATTTATTGTTAATAAACCCAACGATAACTTCTTGGATCCAAAAATATAATGTGATATATAGCGGATCTATATAAAAAAATAAACTTATATGTTATTCTATGTGTTTGTATGCTACGCCGACATTCTGTTGCAGCCCATCGTATGGGGAGTAGATGAATAACGCTTCTAAACAAATACAACAATATATCATCTGTTTTTTTCTAAATGTTAATTGCGGTTTGTATTCGTAGATGGAATTTAGGATTTTGTAAGGAGGAGTATCTGCCTAATCAACGTGGTTTTGATTCTTTCTATGGTTCGCTGACATCGGGAACCAGCTTCTATAGTAAACAGACTAGTGAATTGGGTAAGTACAGAACACTTACGACCATGGCAATTGTATTTAAAAAGAATTGAGTCAACAATCAAAAAAAATTCGTCACTATGCAGTGTGTTTTGTCATTTTTCATTTGTTCTACTTCCCGTTAAATATTATAATGGAAGAATGTTTTGTATCAATTTGCTTGCTGACAAGAAATCAGAAATATTGAAATGGGACCTTGCCAGGCAGTACTACATTTCTGATCAGATTCTTCCCCTAAACTTTCACCATCACTACACACGATTTCAAATCTCATATTTTACAACGCGATAACAAAATTGTATTATCTTATCATTTCATTGTTAAAACATATTCATATTCTAGTGAGGAAAATTTTACAAGAGTATTTTTGGAGGGCAATTTTTTCAATCTTTGATGACCAGTTTTGAATGGTGTTTTTTAGTGAGGATTTACATTTCTCTTCTAGGTTTAGGGTATGATTTTCGCGACAACACCGGAGTGGTACAGGAAAGTGACACTTATCTCCCAGTGAGTATATTGTCTCAAATCGATGTCTTCACTACTTGGTAACAAACAACAATTGAAAAAAACCTCAAACTTGCTCTATTCTTGGCCTCGCCTTTTCTCACTTTATATCAATTTAAAGCTGGAAGTTGTCAGCTCTCGGGAATAAGTATAACAATGTCAGCACTAATTGAACTATATATAACGCAGCTCGTAGTGCCGCCTAAATCAACCAAACCTGTTTTAACTAGCTCCAACTAGTAAATTTTCAAAAACGATTAGCGTGACTCGGCTTTGACTATCATACTTTAGTTACATAAAACTTCCGGAAATTTTGCCACAATATTTATTAATAAATAATATAAGCATATTTCGGCAATTTCGGGCTAAACAAGAATCTATGAACATTTTCACTATTTCTAAATATGTTTGGTAAGAAATTAAGTAAGCATAATATATGTATATATATATATATAAATCGTTAAATTGTACTTATATTTTATTTGTCCTCTCTAAAGTCCATGCTTGCTGAAAGAGCAGTAGATATAGTAATGGGACATTACAAGGAATATCCACTATTTCTTGAGTTCAGTATGGCCTTACCTGGAAAGGCTCTTGAGGTAACTCACTTATTATGTATATATACAGTAGACTAGTACCGACAATGGTACAACAATTAAGATATACTAGAATGAATTAAACAATTTGTGCAATCCACTGCAGAAGAAAATTGAGATGAAGTTTAGAATTCTACATTCTATTGATTACCCTAGGTACCCCAGGAATATGAAGATTTGTATTCCGATATCGAAAATGATCGAACCAGGACGTTGTATGGTATGTACCATGTAGTATCACAAGAGAAACACAAATACCGAGTCACAATCAAATACTAACATATGGTGTAACATTTGAAAAGATTATCGAATCAAAATTGTGTCGAGTATTGTTAAAAATATTCAGATTTTAGTGAGAAATTGCCTTATATACATACAAAGTTTTTCTATCTCATAAAGTCTTTCGTCTGTTTTGATAAAATAGTCCACATGTTGCATAAGTTTATCACGCACTACGTCACCTATATATATCTCGGCTACTTTTAGCTTGCCAATGAAATCTTATAATTCAAAAAATAATGTTATCATTGAATAAATTGCATACTTAGTTTCAGAAAATGTTCAGTAATATTTTGTTAGTTGTTTATACACGATCCGACATGCAGAAATACACATCATGTGGTGTAAAAGGGGTTATAGTTATATTCCAGCATTTTGTTTTTTTCTTCGTGAATCACTCGAAAGGGTAATACAAGTAATTGATTCACACTAAATTGAACATCAAGATGTTAATATTTCAAAGTCTTTGTCACAATACAAATCCCCTTATTTCACTTTTCGCCACAATTTTCCTAATTACAAAAAACAGTAATGTTGTAAATGGTCATCCCATTCGGAATAGTTAGGTTGAACGGTGATAATTGGTTGTATATTGATATATATCGGTATTGTAGTGCATGGCACGACCAGGTGTCAAAACGATAACACTATTCTCCGCAGTTAAATAGAAAAAAACATAGTATTTTACTTTTCCAGCAAAATTTTCTGCAATGGATAATTCAATTGGCCGTTTGGTGGATGCGTTGAAGACACGTGGAATGTGGGATGATACGCTATTTATATTCACATCTGACGTAAGTGATCAATTTCCCTTGTTACAATTCCATTGAAAAGTGTTTAATGTATGTTCTGATTGTGTTCTTTTTGTTGACCAGACTTTACTTGACAAATGATTTTGTGATTTCATTCGAAATGTTATGAGATATTTTTGACTTCCCATTTGAAACCGGCTGAGATTGATCCTTCATGGCACAATGTCGGTTTGTTCATTGTTCATTTAAACAGAATGGAGCGGCAGCGTCTATATCCGGGTCCAATTGGCCATTACGGGGCACTATTGGAACACTCTTTGAAGGTTGTACTCGTATACCAACATTTTTCCATGGGAGTATGTTGAAAAAGACTGGATACGTAAATAACGAGTAAGTTATAGGTATTTATAACAGTATTACATTGTTGCTCACGACTGATTTTATGTTGTCTATATATGTTATTTAAATTACCTAAATAAAATACATGACCGGGTGAATGGAAATAGATACCTTAAGCTAAAACCAGAAACTTCAAGGAAACCTACAGTGGGCTACTCTTCGTATCTCCCTCATCACCTGCCTTCCTCAATCATTATAGAACGGCAACCCCAGTACTTTAGTGATCTAAATAAAATATTATTCGAGTCCCGGGTATCACCAATGAAAAAATCTCCTTTACAATTGATTGGGTGATTAGTTCTAGGACACGCTCCAAGTTGATTTCAAACTACCTCAAAGTTTCCATGTCTTACTTTTTGGATATGCTTACACCCAACGACCTATAATAAAACAATATAATTTGTACTTGTTTTTGATGAATTCTTCGAAAACAAATGTATTCACGCTGTTCAGAAATAATATTTTAAAATCTCGTGGTCACAATACGGGTGTTCCATTATTTTGTGACATCACAAGTATTGAATGATGTAGTAAAGTATATTTGTTAACATATTTGACTGACACGAGGGTGGCAAGCGCAAATCGAGATCTAATATGTGAATTAGCTTACTTACAACACGTACATCACTTTTTTTACTGGACAATCTTGTTCAACTGGTTATGTTGGTATAAATGTGCACACGTCTTTCTTTCTTTCAATTAAAATAATATTTCGAGATAAAATTATTGCAAGTGTATTGCATTACACGGCTAATTGAATATTTATAACTAAAATTGAACGAAAGCTGACTGACATCGTCATGAAATGACAAAATTTTGTCCTCTGAGTTTTGGTAGTTCAAATCTAAGTAATTACGTTGCCGACAAGTAATTGTATTTTCTACATATACGTGAGGATCACAGGATAGTCACGTTCTCTAAAATTAGCACAGGTGTTCCCTTTGTAGATCGATGGTGGGCGGTAATGCCCAGCAATGAGTCAATCGGCCAGAGAATGTCCCGCGAAAACAAGGAGTCAGATCACGTGCACTGTTGTAACTTATGTTAATTTCCATTTGTTTTCTATTTCAGGTTAATTCACATTGTTGATTTGCAAAAAACAATAATTGAATTGGCTGGGGCTAAAACTGGTGAGATTTTATAATTATTTGAAAGTATAATTGCGTAAATTTATTTTCACGCGAAAAAACAAAAAATATGTACATAAGATAATAATAATAATTCACAATTTGTTATCTGGTGTGGAATGCAGATATAGTCTGCGTAAAACTATTCGAGTCTGTGCCCCAATTCTAATAAGATGTATCCAATGAAAGCATTTAGTATAGGGTCATAACCTAAGTACGATGTTTCATCACAGAGCGCTTTAACTATAGCTGCTATAATCTGCATTGTATTGTCCTTGACAGAGTCTGATATTGATGGTATGGATATGTGGAAGACAATCTCAAAAGGTGAACCATCGCCGAGAACGGAATTTGTATATAATATCGATGATAACGAGCTGTCCCCTGGTGCTGCCATCAGGTAAACGTTAATACAATGCATGCGTCTGTGTGTATGAGGGAGGGGGTGCGTGTATGTGTGGGTGTGTGGTTCATAAACCTTGTATATTTTCAACATATACATGAACGTTCCTCTAAAACTATGCGAAAGATGTCACATTGTCAATCAGAATTTACCACCAATTGGCTTCATCACCTGACAATGACATATACAGTGAGAAACTGTGCCATGTATTTGCCAGGTGTGTACTTGCGTTGTGTTATCTATAGGGGCTTTTGAAAGCCATTACATGTTCCATTGTGGATGCGCATGCTCACAACTGTCATGCATACACTTTATCTCTGACATTTGTATAGCTTATGAATTAATGAATTATATTCATTTATGGCGGCCAGATGAATACTAACATGTTTCATACAATCTCGTCCTGACTTGTTGGTTGTATGTTTCTAGGGTCGGGGATTATAAACTGATTACAGGAAATCCGAATTTAGTTTATCCATTACGATTGTTGAACAGCTCAGGTAAATACATATATTGTTCTATTGATAACTCGCTGGATGTACGATTCGAATTAGTGTGAACACTGAAGGTACTGATTTTGAAGTTTCTGTATAATCTAATGTATGTCAATGTATTGGTATTTTAGCTGATTGGTGGAACTATGGTGACGATCCAATAACTCGAATTCCGAATTCTCCTCTTCCACCTCCAGCAAACGTGACATACTTGTTCAATATCATAGGTATGATTTATGTAGCTTAGATTGGATATAAGGTATTGGCATGTATGGCTTGAGTTCAACGATTATCGCGCCTCATAGCATAAAGTTGGTTCTGTTTTTGTTTTCTTCGAAAATTTTCTTCTCGCAACAATTAAGCAAATACCGTAATCTCAAACTTGCAATCAATTAGGAACGGTTGGAGAATTGCCCATGCTGTATCCAATCGAAATCTGACAGTTGTGACAATCACCAAGAGACCTTGTCACTATTGTTCTCAAATTGAAATCCTTTATTCAACACATAGACATACATGGTTGTAAAAAACTTGTAAAAGTATCCTTTAGTAACACCACGTGTATACAATTAGAGATGAAAGTGACCACTTACATATAGGCTGATTGTTTAATATGCTTTGAATTATGATGTAATGTATTCTTTCATGAAATGAATTCCTTTTAATGCAGATGATCCAGAGGAAAGAAACAATCTCGCCGAAGTATATCCAAACAAAGTAGAAGAATTACGGCATCGCTTGGATGAATACCGTGAAAATCTAGTTCCTCCAGTCGATCGAATAATTGACCCAGCCGGTAACCCCGTGAATTTTGGTGGTGTTTGGTCGCCAGGCTGGTGTTAGAGATACTGATGCGTATATCCAAGCATATTATATTATGTATGTTCCTGCCAGTCTTATAATTACACAAAATGTGTCGTTCTTGTAACTATTAGACTAGCATGGGATAAAATAATCAAGGCAATATATAACATTTGTCTATATTATTTAACAAACCAAAAAATAGAACTATTATATAATATTAACAAATAACTGAACTAAAACATGCTTTTCTGTATGTGCATCTGTACGTGTGTGTCAAGTTAGATAGTTGCAACAAATATTATCTTGCATTTGCTATGTGTTGTGCACCAGTTACTTATGGTAGAACGATGAGATGAATATTTACATCTACTTATAACTAGTAATCCCGTTGCAATCCGCTTTTTTTATGCGACAATACTTGAATCCTTATTCCTAACACCGTTCCCATGATGCTGGGTTGAAACTTCAAGTCCCGCATTAGCTGATTCAATTCCCGGGCTTCACAAATATGATGGTATGGCAACAAATTACATTAAAGCACAGTCATGAACACAAATAACAAGCGACCTGTTTCAGCAGACCCGTGCCATAATAAAGACATGCTTAGTTACAAAAATATTTTGCAAATGAAAACATCATAATATCAGCAACAAAGGAATGCAAACAAACATGCAAATGGGCACCAGTTGGCAACACTTGCTAAAATACAAACAAAAACGTGCACCTGTAGCTTGAGTTTTATTTGCACTAAGTTGACTGAAATTAAAATGTATGTTTCAGAATTGGAAACACACAACCCAATTATAAATCACTTTGTTTACTTTTTAATTTATTTTTTGTAATGCGACTTCGTCTTATCAATGAGTAAAAATTTAACACGCTTACCTAAGAACAGTGAAAATACCTGCGCGAAATACGACTTGCTGACAGTTGCTGCATAGTACATACTTATATACCAATGCATCAAACGACTCTGACCAACAAGGTTTGACGAAATAGTCCTGCAAGGTAATATTAAAACAAGAGTAGTATATAGTTGAATTCATTGTTGGTGTTTTGTCAGCTATTTACAGAACCTATTTATCTTATTCTCAGATTTGTTCTCAACAATTTGTATAATGGCCGCAATGATGCTATTCCACAGGCGGACTATGTTTGGTGTTGGTTTTCATATATTCCGGATTTTTATTTATTTACGTGTCTGCAAAATCAAACGACGATTGTTGTTAATTATTTGGCATTAAATGTCATATTAATATCGATGACTTTAAGGCCTCATTTTGTTAAAGTGTTATTTAGTATTAGTGTATAAACCGCGTTAACTGGGAGACATGAAAATTCCCTATGTCAGATTTTACAGAGGATATTGAACAACATTCCTCTCCATTCTACATTCCAATTAGTCAGCATTACTAATGATATGAATGTTTTTGCCTTGTATTGACAAGCGACGATTTTAAACTTGAGAACATCAAAATAATCAGCGAATGGTAAAAGAAATGTGAAACAAATATGACATTTTTAGCATATAGGACATAGAACCGAGCAATGATTCTGATCATACAAAAATGCTTGGTTGTTTGGTAGCTTAGACTTGTCAGCAAACGAATAAACTAAGGGCGTACAGTCATATTTCCCACATTCCAGGTTTTGCAAAATATATACATTGTTATAGATGCAGATTTAACGTAATTACACACTTATTGTTAAATATATTTCTTTCTATTTAAACTTCGACCCTGCTTTTAAACAGTTTAAACCATTCAATCTGACCATGTTATAGTGACACTATTATAGTGAACATTGCATCGAATTTGGGGATAACATTTACACATGGAGTAACCAGATTCGACCCAAGGAAATACATATTAGTTCATTACGGATAGTCCAGCTTCATTCATCGAAACAGTCAGCTGAGGTAACCCCTCGCTGTCCAGTTTCCTCATTCTCATGTTACAAAAAAAAAAACTATCTATCTTAGAAGTATCTATGGCGTGGCAGAGTAAACATGCGACCAGCAAATCGCTGCAGTCGTTGGAACGATTATGCGGGATTACCAGGGATGTGTTTCACGGTTAAAGCCTGGCAAAGTTGCGACTATTAAATACAATTAGTACACAATCTATATATCAAGTTCCTGTAATATATGTATATAATCTCAACCCTAAACATGCAAGTTGGTGATTATAAACAATAGTGCAACATTGTTTAATCCTACCTTACTACTTGATCCTTTTCAAGCCCAACAAGCTGACCATGTTTCACCCTACTTTATTGCAACTTTATTTAGTTCAAACCATTCAACATGACCATGTTTAACCTACCATGCTACAAGCCATAAACCTGACTATTTTTGACCCTAAATTGCTACATTAACCTGTTCAATCTATTCAACCAAACCATGATTAACCCTAACTTGCTACATTAACCTGTTCAATCTATTCAACCAAACCAGGATTGACCCTAACTTGCTACATTAACCTGTTCAATCTATTCAACCAAACCATGATTGACCCTAACTTGCTACATTAACCTGTCCAATCTATTCAACCAAACCATGATTAACCCTAACTTGCTACATTAACCTGTTCAATCTATTCAACCAAACCATGATTAACCCTAACTTGCTACACTAACCTATTCAATCTATTCAACCAAACCATGATTGACCCTAACTTGCTACATTAACCTGTTCAATCTATTCAACCAAACCATGATTAACCCTAACTTGCTACATTAACCTGTTCAATCTATTCAACCAAACCATGATTGACCCTAACTTGCTACATTAACCTGTTCAATCTATTCAACCAAACCATGATTAACCCTAACTTGCTACATTAACCTGTTCAATCTATTCAACCAAACCATGATTAACCCTAACTTGCTACATTAACCTGTTCAATCTATTCAACCAAACCATGATTAACCCTAACTTGCTACATTAACCTGTTCAATCTATTCAACCAAACCATGATTTACCCTAACTTGCTACATTAACCTGTTCAATCTATTCAACCAAACCATGATTAACCCTAACTTGCTACATTAACCTGTTCAATCTATTCAACCAAACCATGATTAACCCTAACTTGCTACATTAACCCGTTCAATCTATTCAACCAAACCATGTTTGACCCTAACTTGCTTGGTTGCTGCTGTATCGTTCTGAGTCTTTCTTGTTGCTACATTCCATGGCCCAAAAACATCAATACCATCATCTTTCAGCTGAGAGATCAGCCATTATCTGAGTTAACGGTTTTGTTCTTAGCTTTTTGAAAATTTTGCACTGATTGAGTATGCTTCTCATTGTTTCTCCATATGTGTGACGGGGCAGATTATGTTTTTAGTGCTTTGGCATGATTTAGTCTCTTGCTAGATTCTTTTGTGTACGTTTGAAACACAAACCTACAAAGTTCCATTCTCTCTGTTATTGGTAGCCTTACATTCTGTTATGTGGTGACCAGGGAAATCATGATATACACATTGATTTGTGTTACTAGAAGTTGTTGTGATAATGCTCAAGTTCATTACCGGTGACTGGGTCTCACCCTTTCTGGTTAGGTAGTTGCAACATAGGACTTAGGAACATCTGGATGATTTTGAGTTATGGCAACAACCTTCAAGTTTATGAACTCTGCAAACAAGCTGAATGATGGAAATATACAATGGCTTTGCTTGTATGACGATACCCTTTACTCCATTTGTTGAGTATGAATGCTGGCAGTTTCTCTATAATTGGATTCAATCCATGTGATGCATTCAGTTTACTGAGGTGGGCGACTTCCCCCGAGTGCGCTACCATATCAATAAACAGATCTGAAAATTCTAGTAGACGTGTGTTGTCATCTCCTCTTTTTTTAAAATAATTGTTGTGCCAGGCGACAGTTCTGGACATTGAGTGTCACTGTTGTTTCTTCTAACTTTTTCTTTTTTGTATGTGCTAATTACAAGTGCTAGTACTGACACATAGTGCATTTTTGCCCCGGAAGTCATATTCATGACAGGGCAGGGCAGTCTGTCAAATAGCAATTTTAATGCGCTATCCTGGCGTCAACCAGGCTCGGTTGAACACAAGCCCCTGCAGACCTTAACCAAGGTTCCCCCAAAGTCGCATTTTGTTAGTAAATGAATCTCGGCCAGTGGAATTGCCTTCCCATTGAGTCTGTGGCACACTCACCCAGGGTAGGGGTCGACCCTTGATATTCAGCCTAAAGTAGGATTTGAACTTGGGTCATGAGTCTGAAGCGACAACCACAATGCTACCATTGTCATCTCTTCTTAATTTAGGGGAAAAGTTTAGTTTTCCGATGTTAACATCTGTAATCACAGCCGAGGTGCCAAATCTCTCCTGTAACTAATTCAAAGCATTTTGATATGCAATTTCAACATTGATTACATATATCTGAGGCGGTACCTCTCAACCAATGTCTTTGGTTATCCGTAGGGTAAAACTAACCTGTGTCACGACGGTCTAAATCCAGCTCACGTTCCCTTGGCGAATTCAGCGATTAAGTAGTGGTAAATCAAATTCAAATTTGGTTCATTTAGTGTACTTGGACTCAGTAGCTTGCAAAACATAATCCATCATGTTTTCTGGTTTTCCTCATTAAGACATTTGTATTGATAACTATTGATTTTCCCACAACCCAATGTGCTTTTCTAATGTAAATCAGTTGTCAGTTGGGATGCATGCTGTTTGTAACACTGATTCAAATGCTCTTTCCCAGAGCATAAATATTATATGCTCCCCTCCAGATGCCATATTTATTGGTATTCCATAATTATTAAGACTGTTTAGTGTACTCTGGTTTTGCCGTATTACACTTGGTCGCTTCTAGCGGTGTCTGTTCAGCTTTGTTCGAGGTGTCACTAATATGTGTGCAGCACAGATTGATTGGCTGAAAGTCACCCGATCAAAGCACGACCCGAAGTTGCCAAAAATGACGGAAAACGGGTTTGAATAACATAAAGCTAGAGAATGGTCAAAATGGTTATAAATATATTCCCCGATACTATTCGAATTGTTTCATTTAAAGGTAAATAATGGATGGTAGTAATTAACCGTTTCACTGAGGCAAGTCTAGTTTTTTATAGTTTGGCCTTGAACAATCAAAAATATATATTCAATAAATAATATTTGTTTAATTATTTGGGTTTTCAGACATCAAATTACTGAACATGATCCCCATGAATTACGGTCAATGTTTGTCTCTCTCGCGGCTGATTGTGTGGAATGACGTCGGGACCGTAATTATGGAGAAACCAACGACGATAGATATTCAAAACACATTTTGGACGGTACACAGTCGATAGGTATTTTAAACAATCGAAATTATTATCGAAAGACGAGATATTTACAAACATACTGTAATACCAAAAATACACCATTATGTTATGTTTTAGGCTTAGCAAAATTTTCGTTCACACAGTCCATGCATGGAGCTCTTTATTTAACTTCGTGGTGGAGAATCATGAACACACACCGTGAAGAGTCAACAATCAGAAAAGGAAGCCCAGAAATTACACCAATGTGCTATCTAAATCAGACAATCATACCGTACTTGTGTTAAAATACATTTTTGTGGCAGTACGTAACGTCAAAATGTTGTATGTATTGAATAAAATATTCCATCCCAGTCAAATCTAGTTCAAAGGGTCAGATTGCGTGCAATAATTATATATAGTTAAAAACAAAAAGTATTTGTTGTATTCAAAGCGTCAAACCTTTGGCAAATGAATGAATGTTTAATATCTTATAATATTTCTCGTTTTTAGTTTAGTTTTTAGTTATGTTGTATGTTGTACGGTCTAAACACAATATCCTATCATATTAATTCCGACATATTGGCAAACGTTTTTGTAAGATTAGATCTATATCAAATAGCATTGTGCACCGTTTAATCATTCTCAGCCAAAACTTTCAAGATGTCGCATAAGACTTATTTACCACTTCCGTGTCACTGAGAATGTTCTAGAACCGTACTGTGTCTGGGTGGAATAGTTTAGATTTTTTTTAGAAACTGGTTGAATAGGTAATAGAACACTGTAGGAGGCAATGGAAGGTAATGGAACATTCTAGAAATTTATAGCAAATTCCAGACTCATTATGTATGCTGATGTAATGGTCTATTTATAGACAGTGTGGGTATATATAGGGGAGTTTTTCAGTACTGAGTTCAGATCGGAGATCTCGTTGAATTGTATTGGAGTTTAAGTATCTAGTTATTGGAGTAGTGGAGTTTTACCGCGTTATTGTACTTGATGTTTGCAGAGTATAATAATACCAGTACCAGTTGAAACCTCATCTGTTGGCTCCGTGTTCGTATTTTATCATCGCCGCCAGGGAAGTCTTTCTGTTACTGTTGCCATTTTGGTATTTGAACCATCACACCTGTACTATACCAATTACGGTAATGTTACGTTGCGTGTGACACAAGATTTATGTGTCAGATTCGTGATGTTGCTATATGTACTATATATTCGATACTAATACAATTTGACAATGACTATAATGTGCATCCCGATTTCAGTGAACTTCAGCCTGCATTCGTGTGTGTTAGTAAATATAATAGATAATCATAGTATATTGTTTTAAATATTGTATTCCACAGAGAGCCCCTTCATCCCACACTAGTCTAATAGGTACAACAACGACACTCTAAGCGTGCTTTATGAGACTGGCAGTGATAACACGTAATATAATAATATAATAGGTTTGGGTAGCATGCTTGGGATATATGCATCATTATCTCTAACACCAGCCAGGCGACCAAACGCCACCAAAATTCACGGCGTCACCGGATGGGTCAAAAATTCGGCTCTCTGGTGGGACTAGATGTTCACGGTATTCGTCCAAGCGATGGCGTAACTCTTCTACTTTGTTTGGATAAACGTCCGCGAGGTTATTTCTTTCTTCAGGATCATCTGCATTGAGAGAAAGGCATTTTGCTATTAAATGACGTGTAAATTTTATGATATAGTACATAACATTATTCGCACAATATACAACTTTCAGATATCATGGGAAATGTGTTTTGGAAGTGATTATGTGCGTACAACCTTAGGTCAAAGCAGATGTCATATTAATCCCCAAAAAACAGGTTATATGTAAGTGATCGCTTTCATCTGGAAGTGTATACTTTTACTACAATCTTGTTACAAACATGAACATCTGTTAAATTTATGCTGCATAATTCTTTGACCTCGCTTTGATAGTAAATGTGACAAGGCTCTTGACGCCTGTCACCTTGGTAAGATTTCGATTGGATACAGCATGGATCATTCTCCAAATGTTTCTGCGAGCTACACATGATATTTTCTGAATTGTCCTTCGAAGATTATTTCCGCTTTTTAAAAGAGAAAAAAAACAGATACACAGTTTATGTATGAAACGCGATAATCGTCGAACTCAAGCCATACATGGCCAGCTTACATCAGTCATACCTATGATATTGAACAAGTATGTCACGTTTGCTGGGGGTGGTTCATTTCCAGTTGGAGGAAGGAGAATCCCGCTAATAGGTTCGTCACCATAGTTGTACCAATCATCTGAAATACCATACGTTGTCATACATTAGATGATGTGATTACCATTAAAATACAGAGCTACAAATTCATGACCTTCAGGGTTCACAGTATACCAGCCTTAGCCAATCTTTCTGCATATTGGATTCAATGAGTTATAATAAAACATATTTACCTGATCTGTTCAACAATCGAAATGGATACATTAAATCCGGATGTCCTGTAATGAGTTTATAATCCCCGACCCTACAATCATTGAATGAAACATAGTATTATTATTTATCTTGCAACCAAAATGACAGTTAAATGTGATGGCGTTAAAACACGCCTCTATGTACGACACTTGCACATACGCGAGTACACACCTGGCAAACAGACGGCACATACAGTTTCTTCGTAACTCTGGGTCATCAACGTGACATATTTTGAATAGTTTCGAAGGTCTGTTCTATGTTGGAAGTTTACTAACCAAATTTAATCATAGTTGCAGTAACACCCACACATATATATGCACATTGTATTAACGCTTACCTGATGGCAGCACCAGGGGACAACTCGTTATCATCGATATTATATACAAATTCCGTTCTTGGCGATGGTTCACCTTTTGAGATTGTCTTCCACATATCCATACCATCAATATCAGACTCTGTCAAGTACAATACAATGCAGATTATAGCAGCTATAGTTAAAGTGACCTGCAATGGAATACCGTAATTTGAAATAATTTAAAAATCTCACCAGTTGTAGCTCCAGCCAATTCAATTATTGTTTTATGCAAATCGACAATGTGAATTAACCTGAAATATGAAACAAATGAAAATGTCCAGACTCCACTTGTGTCAATATTAGATAACATGACCATTATATATATGCAGAAAATACTATTTTTAATTTCAATACTACTTGGATTCGCAACGTTAGTCCACTAGGAAATTGTTGTCAGTTGGCTTTCAAAGAATAAATTAGCTTTAAATAAAATGATCTAAATATTAGTTGAGTAGCCCATTGAAGTTCTCGGCATTAGCTACATCCAATTTACAATTTAGTGTATATTACCCGACAGAATAGGTGGGCTCCAAAAATTCAAAACGTATTTTGATTATGTATTTCAAATAGCAATGTAATGATTTCATTAACACTGTATGGACAATACAACAAAATCTAAGTTAATAAAAGTTCTTTGAATTGCTCAGCAACTATTTCATATTGCAACTGATGTTGACTACCTTATACATTAAATTGACCAAAGCTACTTTATATAAAATAGCCCCACAACATAATAACGCGATACTATCGGACGAGTATTAAATATAGCTTAGTTTTACGGGTTGAAAATAATGGCATATTTACGGAAAAATCAGTCGTTACAATAATGTACGACTGTGATTGACTACTAGTAACTTACTCGTTATTTACGTATCCAGCCTTCTTCAACATACTCCCATAGAAAAATGTTGGTACACGAGTACCGCCTTCAAACAATGTTGCAATATTACCCCGTAATGGCCAATTTGACCCGGATTCCGTTGCAAACGCTCCATTCTGTATCAATGAAAATTATCAAACGAAAATTGTATCATAAAAGATCAATTTGAATCTTTCCTTTGATTAAAATGAGAAACTAAAAATATTTCGTAACATTTAAAAAAAATATTCAAGCCAATGAAACAAAAACGAAGTGATCACTGACATACTAAAACCTGTTCAATGACTATTAGACATTAGATTTGCAACAACGGGAATTGATTACTTACGTCAGATGTGAATATAAATAGCGTATCGTCCCACATCCCACGTGTCTTCAACGCCTCCACCAAAAGGCCAATTGAATTGTCCATCGCAGACAACTTTCCTGAAAAAGAAACAGTGAGATTTCGAAATATTACATACTGATGCTCAGGATAGTATGAATAAATTACTCATATCGGCTTTAGTAAAATCTGCGCACGTTTTTAACATCTGTTATCAGTTAGCTAAAGTTCGCCCAAAAGCTAAATCAATTAAATACACAGCCAATACATAGCTAAGGTGTTAACAATTGATTAAATACTGGTAAATCAAATTAAAATTTGGTTTATTTAGTGTACTTTTGAATTCGCAAAACGTTATCTATCTGGTTTTCGGGTTTTGCTCATTAAGACGTGTTCCCTCTTTAGCTGTTCTTAAAGGGCGGTAGACGTCGCGCTGCGCCCAGTGCGACATTTGTGTTGATAACTATTGATTTTTCCCATAATCTAATGTGCTCTTCTAATATAAATTACAAGTATGTGGTTTGACCTGGGCGCGACTTGCATTAAATACCGCCCGTGACTGCTTCAAATCACTTAAAAAATACCTAATTAAAGCTTGGCAACGTCTTAGTTTGTACTCGTTGATCTGCGCAACAGTCATCAAAACACAAACACAAAAGAAAGCTTTTTGGCTTAAAGATCGTGCTATAATCCAAATCACTATCGGAAGAGTTGTAAGCAGACATTTCAGAATGGAATGCTACATACATGGTGTTCCTTTCTAAATGTTGAATAATGTATCAACTTTCTTTATTTTCAAAACCTAAATATGTAAATTAGGTATGGACTTAGTGGCCTATATTTGACGGGTTACACGGTAAACCTTTGTAGCATATAACATGTATACTACATTATCATGGCATCCATTTTTTATTGATGATGATTAGAAAAAATGCCTATTGATAACAGAATAGCCAAAGACTTCACACTGCTGAAAAACCTTGTATATAACGGATTTTTGACATTAAAATCTGAAAATTATAACAATACTTGACGAAAGTTTGGTTCGATGGTCCAGGCAGATTTTACATATCATCCCCTTCAGCGTTTTATACCACATGTTATTATTTTATTACGATTCGGTAATTTAGTGTTCTTAGATACAACGATGTTTAAATTACAAATACCATAAAATTTCCTTGTTCGATCATCATCGATATCGGAATATAAATCTTCATAGTCCTGTGGTACCTAGGAGGAATAACCACACACACACGTAGGAGAATGTTGATTGTCTTCTGTATTGGGTTGCGCAAATTGCTGAATTTATGCTGATATATCTAATTCGAGATTATTTTACCATTGTCGGTAGTCTAGTGTATACCCAAATAATAAGTAGGTTACCTCAAGAAATTTTCCAGGTAAGGCCATACTGAACTCAAGAAATAGTGGATATTCCTTGTAATGTCCCATTACTATATCTACTGCTCTTTCAGCAAGCATGAACTGTAAAGAAGCAAAGAAATAAAACAAAGTACAATATAATGATATTATTCTTGACAAACAAAGTATAAGAAAGTAAAAGTGTTCATTACAACCCAAAATTCCCAAAATATGGTTATATTTTTTTACCGATAAATATTGTGGCAAAATTATCGGATCATCAAAATCGACCCCGATTGAGAGAGACCAAGACCGAGGTTATAGCAACTTTGACTTCATAAAATTGTCCATTTGCAAACATTGTGTTATATAAATTCGGAGCGTTGACATAAGTTTGTAACCAAGGAGACAAAACACTGATACTCACTGGGAGATAAGTGTCACTTTCTTGTACCACTCCCGTGTTGTCGCGGAAATCATACCCCGGAGCTAGAACGGGAAAAAAAGACCATAATCAAAAACCCCATACAGATCAAATCGACGAACCATGAACTGAAGATGTTGTAAAACAATATATAAACTACATTGGCCTTGTTGGCAATAAATTGATAAGATACTTTTAATATACTGGCACATAACTGCAGAACTGCAGCACTGCAGATAAATATACATGTTCCATTACAACTTTGAGAATCAAAATGTTAAAATAAGACATGTTTTATGTAAGATTTTAAACTAAATGCACGAAATATTTTTAAATTCATCTTACATATGAGATTGACTCACAAATTTGTAACTGGTTTTAAAAGATGAAATTAAAAACGTGTGAAGTTTTGGTAACTGTGTGGGAAACAGGTCAGAAATTGTGTACTGACAGGCAAGGTCTTATTAGAATGGTTGTTTTATATCAACACGAATATTGTGATAAAACATTCAAATTTTACCAAAGCACTGATCTAGTCATATTGCACAACTCGTGCTAAAATGCACCAAGACAAAACCGTACTGGCAACTAAAAACATTCTAATATTAAATGGAAAGCGAAACAACACAGTGATGAAAACAATATTTCGGACTTTGTATTTAAAAAGTCAAAAGTCGAAGACCAAGCTCGCAATAAGAAATGTGTTTTTGAAGACTAGACATTGTTTTTGTGTAGATGTATATTTACCGGACTTTACAATAGTTGTATACTGTTGTTCGCAGTCCAATACTGTTTTCTCATATGTTACTGTACTTACCAAGTACATTCTCTTTAGTATATAGATCGGTTCCCAATGTCAGCCATCCATAGAAAGAATCAAAGCCACGTTTATTTGGAAGATACTCCTCCTTACAAAATCCTAAATGCCATCTACGAATAAAATCATACGCACTTGATTGTGTTATATATTATTTAACATTTAGACACAAACAGGTGACAGATTGTTGGTTGTATTTATATAGGCGTTATCTACCCACTTCCGTTACTCCACAAATCTGTTTCATATAGATCTTCTATACATCACACTATATTTATGGATCTAAGATGTTATATGAGGGGATTACTATTATTATCTTATTTGAAAAAACCCTTGAGCGGTGAGGTTCTATGTTCAATGTCTAGGAGCTAATATGAATTATTGTACTTGACTTCCAAAATTTGCATCATCGACATAGTCCGGCGGCCACACATCAGGGACCTAGACAATCTGTAATAATTGTATAATCACTATTCTTATATTAACTACCATGAATATATTAACTTATATTAACTACCATAAATAAACAACTTCAGAAACTGCTAATCACATTGATCTGAAATTGTGTACTTTATATATATATGTACCTAATACAGTAACGTGTGTGAAGCATAAGTTTTTTTCTTAAAAAACCTCGTATTGTTGTTAAAACAATTAGCAATTATAATTGCCATATATATCGTAATTAACGTGCTGGAAACCTATTTATATCATTGAGATTCTTCTTTTATAGTTTTTGGTAAATACTTTAGTTATGCTGGACATACTTTCGTTTGTTGGTCAACATTACTACATAACACCAGGCGCGTCTCTAAGAAATTGATATGTATTTTGATTTCGCATTCCCATAATCACAGCAGCAAATTACCCTACATTTTTAAACTCATCTGATGTGTTCTGCAGTCTACTTACTTTCCAACAAGATGAGTTAGATACCCGACATCTTTCAACATTTCTGGCAATGTCTTAAGATCTAATGAAAGCCCGTCAGCTTCAAGGTTAAGCAGCATTTGATGCTGTAATTAATAATAAAAAACTAAAATTTAAAGGTTTTTCATACATAATCTATAGCTATATATAATTATTCCAAGGAAAAAGTTAATCATACTCAAAACTGTGATAAAATTGACAATCACATTAAGAAATTTTACACAATTAAGTATAACATAATTTTAGAACATATTTAGATGCCTACCAGTCAAAAAATGGAGTCACACATTGGTCACATGAATTGGTTTGACCATTTAAGTAACCAGTTATTAATAGCCTCACTGTTCATCTTTCAATGGGCAAACTAGTGTACATCCTAGTTCTAGTTCTGAGGTCAAAATTATCTCTGTAATGAGTTGCAGTCATCAGATTCTCTCACTTGTTTCAGAGGTTGTAGATATGGTGAAATCACTCATAATACTTATAATATAATTGAAAAAGCATGTTTTAGGCCGCCATTTAACATTAAAACACAATTGCAACTGGATGCATCCAACGTAAGACCAAATATCAATTAGTGTGAATTAATCACTTTCCTGAAATATATAGTTTGACATTGTTTAAAACATATTCGTATAGGAAAATGAACAGTGTATAAAGGAGTACATAGTGCGCGCTGGACATGAACATCTTAGATTTAAATTGCAGACAAACATATGTCAACAAAAATACAGATAATTGTGTTCCAATAAACAAATTACCTGTCTTTTAATTTTGAACGGATAATAACCGGTAAATAGAGCAGATCTTGATCTGAAGAATGAAACATACATGCAAAACATAATTAAACAGATGTACAGGTGATTTGTTGATAGTGAAGTTGACTGTACAATCTGTAACTACATACCGACAACATTACATGTCTTGTCACTTACGGTGTACATGCAGGCTGGACGTATGATTGGTTGAATATAACGCCGTCAGCGGCGAGTTGATTGAGGATGGGCATCTTGAGATCCGGGTTGTGCCATCCTACGTCATTCCACCCAAGATCCTCTGCTAGTATTAGAACAATGTGTGGTTGTTTATCTAATGATGAAGCAAATAATATAGTTGCACATCAAAAGTGTTAATTGAAATCTAATTTTAAGTCATCCTGTTTTTAAAGTTTTTTTAAAAAGTTCTCCTTTCAATTTATATAATTAATAACATGATAAATATGTTTAAAAACGCTCTTTGTTTGACATTTATATAATCCAGCAATAAATTTGGCTTCGTATGATGTTCAATGAAGTGTGAGCCTGCATGTCGTGGCCCAACCCTATTGGAGTTCAACCCGGTGGGTAGATTCGAACCGAGCTTTGCTCGAGCCGAACGCGACTACACGGCCATTTATGCTGGCTCGAGCCGTGGGGCTTTAATAAAATGCTGTCGTGTAAACGTAGCAATGGTTTGACCCTGGTTCAAAACAATTCTTCCAGGAAAATAAGTACGCCCTTAATCCTGATCTGAATGGCAAATCATTTGATTCGTGTTTTTGACAGAAAACCCAAGTAACTGTTTCTTGTATACAAACAGTTTAGACGTTTCAGTCTGATATTTTACAAATGAAACTTAACTATTTTGTATAGTAATTTACTATCTCACTACACACTAAGAAAAAAATGAGGTAAGATTAGCTGTAGACTGCAGGGCCCTGGTTAGTGTCAATTGACCACACTTTTTTTCTCGATGTATCGCTAAAACAAAAATCCGAACTTGTAAACAATGTCATATAATGCCGAAAGGCAACTATAAACTGCGTGCTAAGTTGTTGTTTGCCTTGTTGTGTACTGAGATTAAGATTAACGCCAGGCCCATCGATATTTGAACCATTTTGAGTGATACCGAATATGGTTTATATAATACGTGTACTTTAGTACATGAAAAGTGTACCATAGAAGCTTTTGTGATAACAAAGTCATGCTTTCAAATGGTTGTCACATGCAATTACGAGTTTTGTATGACTGGGCGGCAGTCACGTTCCGTGACGCAATGTTTTTTGAAACAGTGTCACATTTGAGAGGTTTATATGTAATGTTGTAATCACTTCAAGCAGATCAAACTGGTTTACAATTACGTATATACGCAAATATGTATGAGTTGATCTTTGAATTACTAAGTGTCAGTTAATGTAGCGGACGATAGAGGTAACCGTGTTAATTTTTTTCAAACACACTTTAATAGTAACTTTCTACTTCCACTCACTATTACAATTGATGAGCATGATAATAGCGATGTATTGTGAAAATTTATTTATTGAAATAAAACGTTACAGATTTAATTTGCCTGAAATGTTCCTGAACGTAAGGTGGATAATTAATTTATATTTTCCATTCGTTATCATGTTGTTAGATTTAATACAAATATATAAGATAATCATTATGTTAGTTTCTCAGCAGATGGCAACTTGAATAACCTGTGAACTATGAAATATTAAACGCTTTAATGCGATGTGCATGTAATGTATAGCCATTTTCTAACTTAATTATGTTCGAGAATTATTGTAAATGTTAAATAATTTGAAACACAATGTGTGATTCGGGTAAATCTATTATCATCAATTCGAAATAAAACTTGTGTACAACCTCATTATTTTAATGTCGTCTCTGTCCAAAGCTAGTATGTATGATTAACTACGTTCTGCTCACTGAAGAGTGCAAGATATAAAATCAATCGTTCTATAGACCTTTGTTAATGTGAATAGTAAAACATTTGTTATTTAATAAGTTAAAACGTACTCATAACGTTTATTCATTGAAACGCTGGGGGCTCTTATGAATTTATTCTGTTTATTAAAAATATGGTACCCGAGTTCTAATTGATAAAGAAATTAATTAACGACACCAAATTAAACATTTGTTTATATTGTCTGATTATACTAATGAACATGACTAATTAACTAACTAACTAATTAATTAATTTCATTATTTCCTTACTGATTAAGTATCAATTGACCATTTATTTTTGTGTTGAATTTGCTATAATTTTATATTTTGTGGAATAATTCCCACCCCAAGATTTAGGCGTGAAGAATAGTTTCATCTGTTTTGGTTATGGTTTCACGTTTCTTGTGCATTTTTTTTTTCAATTCTGTCTTCGATCCTCAGAGTTTCTGATGGTAAACACTTTAAGATTTTAACATTTAACACCAACGTCACTGTGTTTGTTTTATTGAATGATTTATAGAAATTACAGATCATGCAAAGCCGAAAATGGTGTTAAGGTATAATTAATACTATTTTTATTTAGCCAGTATATATCTCCTACTGATACTATGATTTTCTGACAATAGGCTCGGAGCCTGCTTGCTGTAGCTCATTTAGATTTCAATGTGAAATGAAAATGAAAATGTAGTTGTTAAATTTGGTGACCAGTTTAGTATGATAGAAAGCGTTTACAGTCTTCAAATAACCACAATAGACAGAGTGGGGGTCAAGACCGAATTTTCAATTAATATTCATGAAATATGTCTACTTCATACTATCGTTAAAGGTCATTAGCATATTGTGTACGCAGTGCGCATGCTTCGGTCTCTTTTTTCGTATTCCACAACGCATGCGTCATCACAGTGAGGTCAATCGAAATTTACGTTACGTGCAATGTCATGTTCAGCACCGTCAATGGGTTTGACCACATTCATGGTGTGCTGAACGTTGTCTTTGTATTCGAAGCCCATACATAAGCGACGCTACCAGATATATGAAACATCTAAATAGCCAGCAACTAACTGATGATTTGTACACATGCCATCATGTCATATGCTGTAATATGCAATGACAATGGCCGTAAATCTCGATTTTTATATCGGATCTTTATTACCAGAAAAAAGGCCATCGAACCAAAAAGGTTAGTACATATCACAAGAATATTCTTTTTACCCAGTTACAATAATACTTCAGTGGCATTCCTTCTAAACTTACATACAAGTAAAAAATAGAAATCATTTTCAATTACATTTAGATCACAAAATTCGGATAGGTGCTGGTCTATATTCTTAGGCAATGTGATGGGGTTCAAGGGTAGATTTAAAGTGACAATCTGTCTCTAGTTTGTCTAACAAACAGATATCTGTCCGCCACTCATAAGTTAAAAGAACCTTAAGCCTTGTCATTAAAGTACTAATAAATTCATTTACATTGCTAACTTTCTGTGGAAACCAAACCTCAGTTATATTACAAGTTAAAAGTACATTTTTAACAACATTTATGTCTCGTCATATTACCTGACTGTTCAATATTGTATAGCATATTGTAGTATTTGTTTGAATAACGTGTATTGGGCATACATATTATAATTTCGCCCAAGGCTTTGCAGTATGCTGAAATGTGGGGAATTGTCCATATTCACCAAGCATGCTGTTGTTTGGTGCACGCACAGAAACACCAAGAAATGATCTGCAAGCCAAGAGACGAACGCGCTCTAAGTGGTCGTATTTTTGGAAGTCTCAGATTTCGGTTCCATAAATCGAAATAGGGAAGATGTTGGTGGCGAAAATTTTAAAATAAACATCGTATGGGAATGGTTTTAACAGTGATAAAGATCGAAAGGTATACAAATTCGACATTCCACTTCCACATTCCACATTCCACACTCGCTTACTGAATAAATACTTATTATTCATTAATTGTACCTCATAGATATTACGTTTTGAAATTAACAGTAATTAGAAGGAAGAAGGTGAGCATGTGAATATGTAAACTCTGAATGTACTATGCACATGTATGTAGTTTGAAAAACGGAAAACGTTTTGAGAATAGATTCAAATTATGTACACGTCTTACCTGATTTAACAACACTCACCTGCAATACAAAAATAAATATATAGTTTGTGACATTATTCTGCATCATTAGCGATCTCATCCATGTATTCACCACTATTTACGGTGTTCATGTTGATGGAAGTCATATTGCGGGAATTTCAAATAACAATGTCGAATACATCAACTAACATAAGACACGAGCCTATATACATATGACATACTTACACACACAAGTGCTACCAGTATTGAACAGGCTAAACGCATCTTTTAAAAAATGTATCCTCTCACTTCAGTCAATGTACAAATGTTATCTATCAGCCGGGTTTGGTATAGTAACTGATAATACATCTGAAGATGAATTTATATGCTTCTGTTATCGGACACATCAAACGGCAACATGTAGTTATATTTATTCACCATGTTTTTTGCAAATGATTGATTGTGCAACTATATATAGCAGCAATGTAGGGTCCAAGCTATTAATATTTGCTATACGAGGTTTCATGCTTGTTATTTTCCCAAAATAACTAATAAATGTCAAATTGGTTTATCATATCTCACTGCTGTTACACATGCTGTGATTGATCGTGTCATATGACATTGGATAAAAATGGATATTACATGGTATATTGCCCGCCAAGTAGATATTACATGGGTATATTACATGGGCAACGCATACAAAATTGTCGTTCGCTGCACTGCTGCTGTCCCGGCCGCTCTTGCTTTCTTGGTTAGGGTATTCTTTATACGAAGCAAAAATGTACGGCAAAGCCGCCACGTGAAAACGCTCTAAGCTGTGTGACTTGAGAATAGAAGGTGTGGTAAGTTCATGAGAAGGTAATTTCAGTCACTTCAACGGCGCTCAGACATATTTATCTGGTGAGTGGTCAAATGACTAGCGTTTAAGAGTTTCTCAATTCATTTCAAAATGTTATACTCGATAAATTGAGTGATTCACACTGCTTAAACACAGTTACTAAAAAGAGTATCCATGGCTGAAAATAACATTTACTGTGTGTATTTCGCAGCTTTTTCAGCAAACAATGTATCTATGCTAATGAAAAATGTGAAACTTGTTACAATACATAAAATATAATTGCATACTTCAAATATTAGTGTTGTTATTTTGTGGGAGAGCGGGTATGAGTGGTGTATGGTAGATGTGATTGTGCATGGAAGATGTCTGCTCGATGTGATAAAATAAATAACACATGGTCATTCGGCCTGCCCAAAGAATGACCATAATATTGATTGATGCCAGAGCCGAATGCGAGGGCTTCATCAATATTATGTTCGTGACCAACAGCCCGAGAACAACCTACACAAACACATGTATTCAATTACAGTTCATAGAAAGCATAATACAATACCTGTATGTACGAAGCCAGTGAACGTTATTCAAGCCAAAGAAACTGCATCTATTTATATAAATACACATAGACAGAGAATATATTCTCGAAGCACTAAATGTGACAAATGCCCTACTGTGATAAATATACCACACCAGCTACATAGCGCCCGACGAGGAGCTGGGTAGGTAGTGAAGACAAACATTGACTGAAGCTTAGCAAAGAACTGAATTGTTGTTAATAGCAACAAACATATTGGGTAAGTCAAAGACATTGAAAAAAAATACAAAAAAACACACAGGCATATAAATACTAACTTTCTAGAATCTTTATTGGCTCCAAGTAATCCAGAGTAGAACGAGATGAATCAACGCTATACTCCGCCATCTTTATTTTAGTATTAGATGCAACCATTATTTTATAGGGGACAACGGGTCATAACTTCAGTGGAATGATTTTAAAAATGCCTCAAGGAAAATATAAAAACTCTACCACAACAGCAATTAAAACAGCTTGCTGCATTATACGTATCGCTTCCCAGTCAAATTAGTGGTTCATGCTTATTTGAATCTGAACATAACAGACCAATTCTATCACACCTCGCTAGGCTCGAACTTCCATCCAATGAGAGCATTCCAAATAAACATGATTCCCACAAATACTAGAGGACGTTCTGGCCAAAAAATTGCCATTATCTAAATAAAAAAGAACTGATATATTAACTACTAGAGGGCGACATACTTATTGCTACATGCGAATAAACATACATCTGTATATAAAAGGGTGGAAGCCACTGATTGGATGTTACATAACACCACTGGTGCATACGACACACGATCTGGAGACCACTGATTCGTCGAAAAACACCTGGTTGTATAAAATATATTTGGGATGGGGGATAGTTACTAAAAACCTGTATCCTGCTGTGTTATGTGACTGGTTGTATCATTTGACATTTGTATTTAGTGTTGGGTTGAGGTGAACTATATGGAAGGTACATGGCTGTGTTTGGCGAACTATGTTACTAATCATTACTGTACATAACACATTCGAGTCACGCTCGATAACACGTGTTGGCCTCAGTAACAGTGTAATGCGTTGTTCCCTCTTGCAATGACATGTATAGGGTCATGAGGTTGAATAGATACTGTTTTTCTGACTATATAAATGCATATTGTTCTATTTATTTACAAATAATTTATATCAAAGAGAAATCCTGATAGTCTAGCTTCATCCGATACTTAAAACCTACTTTGTGATTCTCGACCAATCAGAATGCTCCATTTGAATATGTCATTTTCCCAACTTTGCTTTCATAAATTGTTCTAGGACCTTTATACAAATCATATGACATCAGGGATGAAACTGATGAATTTTACTGTGAACTGCATAGAGGCTATGACTACTCACAATCTGTAGCAATTGTTGTTGTTTAGTCTAGATTAGCACTAATGTAATATTTCTAGCGAAAAAGTGATATGTTTCAGCATTGTGGTGAGATTAAATCACTTACAAATAACTGTACCGATATATACCTCAAGTTTCACATGAAGACAAATAAATACAAACCCATGAATTTCTATATCATGTCTGAGAGTATATTACATTTTTAAATTTGTATAAATTATGACCACTGCCACCTCGTTTGGTTGGTCTGGCCATATTTGTTGATACATACTGTATATTGTGACTTGATATTTGATAGACGTTATGACAGCTTTTGCTATACCTATTAATAAAAACAATATATGTAACTTCGTGAGAGGCAGAGCATTCTATTTTGATCTGCATGCATCTTGTTTTCAAACATATTGCATGATATGGTGTCGGCTTTTTTTGATGTATAGTGATATTTCGTGTCAATGCTTCAGACAGATACGAATATGCCCGACATTTTGATTTAGGTATCTAAGTAAAAATGCAATGCGTTGTTTCCTCTTGGAATGACATGTATAGGGCCATGATGTTGAGTAGATACTGTTCTTCTGACTATATAAATGTATATTGTTCTATTTATGTACAAATAATTTATATCAAAGCGAAAGGCTGATAGTCTAGTTTCATCCGATAATAAACACCTACCTTGTGATTCTCCACCAATCAGAATGCCTCATTTGAATATTTCATTTTCTTCTTTCAAATCATTTTATTTCTATAAATTGTCACAAGACTTTTATACGCCTTTGCTTTCATGAATTGTTCTAGAACTTTTAAACAAATCATATGACATCATATGACATCAAAGATGAAACTAATAAATTTACTGTTAACTTCACACGGCTGTCTGACATACTGCATGGAGGATATGACTACCCACATTTTGTAGCAATTCTTTTTGTTTAGTCTTGACTAGCATTATTTTAATGTTGCTTCAAAACAGTTAAATGTTACAGCATTGTTTGTCTGATCTGGCAATATATTTGATGACACATACTCTATAGTGTGACTGGATATTTGATATACGTCGTAACATCTTTTGCTATACCGGTCAATAAAAAAATATGTTTAACTCCGTCAGAGACAAAGCATTTTATTTTGATCTACACTACACTTCATGTATCTTGTTTCCAAATATACTGCATAATATGGTGTCGGCTTTGTATGGTGTATGGTGCTATTTTCTGTCAATGATTCAGACAGAGACGAATATTTCTGACATTTAAACATTCTTCATTTAGGAATTCCATCACAGTTATAACTTGGCCATCTTCTCGAACAGATTCAGTATCATGTATGTATAATTCCTAGTAACCTATCCTCCCTATATTAAGAAATAATATCGGGGATAAATCACATATCCACTTTGTGTTTCGAATTATGATATATTAAATGGCCTTATACAGTTACTCGGTTTAGTTCTGTGTATAGCATGAATTCTGATTTTCAATTACAATCTTCAGAAACCATGACGTTTACGCTTTCATCGTTTGTGAGCTAGCGCATATTGCGTGACCTGGGGTTAACAAACAGGAACGCCACGTAAACATTCCCCTGCAATAAAACAGCAATCATTTGTCAACTAACTCATACGAGCCTCTTAATAATAAGTAAAAAGTGAATTTGCACTATTCAACTTTCATTTACAGGCCATATTTCCTTCAAAGAACTTTTAACGCAGTTTTCTATCCATTGTCCGCCATCCTGGGACACAATGTAGCCTCCCAATAAATTCCAACAACAAATTAGTTGACCTTTTGATGTCACATGCAAAGTTTCCATTTCAGAAATAGTATCAATAGTTTTAATTACATTGAATTTCACCTAAGCTCTGGCAGAAAATTGAAAATTTGCGATTTATATTGGTTAATTCATATTATTGAATTATTGCATGAAAATACATCAGATCCTGAAATTATTATTGTGTGGGGCAGTGACTATTATTATACTTTGAATAATAGCTGCGATTGTGTTGGGGGAAAAACCCAAACAAATATGAACGATTGCTTATGATTGCTTACTGATCATTCAGCTATTTCTCTTAAACTTCGTTTTTGGGATTCGCCTACGCCTCTTTCTTACTGGAAATATATTACTGTTTTGTTAACAGATGCAGATTATTGTGAGTTCATCAAAGATACTCCGCCTAAGTGGATAAAAGAAAGTTTAGATTTTACTGACTCATTGGGTGGGTAGGATAGGACTAAATTATGTAATAACTATACAATATAGTAATACAAATTGCCATGAACGAAGAGAGAGAGTTATGACTTCTTGAGAACTTGAAGCGGGAACTATCCTTCTGACCAACTAACTGAATGTATTTTACAGTTAAAGCTAATGCGAAGAAAACTCAAATTCATTTAATAATTGGTGATGAGGGGAAACGGGCAAATCTCCTTAAGATTAACCACAAAATTAATTCCTTTTTCATGACACTCAGATTAGTTGATATATTTTGGATTATACAAAACAACTTTTCTCTGAGAAAGGGTCTAATATGGAATACCTTGCAATAAAAGTATGTTCA